TCCCCCACCTAAACTCTACCTCTCCCAACACAATTGCACCAGCACCAAAGCCAAACAACATGCCCGCGCCGCATTCTACACCTAAAAAAACACGCGTTTAAGGAATTTGTAATTATTTTAATGCAAAAAGCATTACTTATAGCCACAATAACGTTTTTCGCTTTTTATAAATGCAGGGGGTAAAATAATTGCAGATTGAATGAGCTCCTTTTTTTGTGGTGGTGGGGAAAAAATTTGCGGTCCAGACTTTTTTGGTCAGGGCGGGGCGCCTTCGTTGTTGATTGCTTTGGCGGGCCCACCTGGCACGTGCTTCGCAGCTGAGGAAAGGGGACGGCAAAATTTCGGGCAACAGGCGCCGCCGCTAGTTGAGCTCCAACTGGCTGCATGGGAAGCCAGGTCTCTTGATCCAACATTTGGCTGTCGACAAACCAAACAAACACCTCTCCATCCCGTCAACGTCCTTGAGCCCTCCCCCTCAAGAGACAACCCAATCCCACGATTCACGCTTGATGATACTCCGTTCTGTCCCGGCGTCGCCATTTCCGCAGCCATCACCCTAATACCTTGCCTTCTCTTTTCGATCCGGCAGAGCTGATCGTCACGCCCAGCTCCAAATCGCGCGGCTTCCATTTTCGCGATCTCCGTAGCCTCCAGCAAGCGCACCGCCCAACAGCCTCGGCTCCCATCCAGCGCCCCGCGCTTCCTGACATCCACAGAGCCCTTGTCGCGAACTTTTTTTTTCTTTTTGGTTTTGAGTAGCCAGACCAAGCAAGGCTTCCTTGACGCGCGGCCCAGCGCCCAACTTCACAATGGCGCCGCTCCCCATCAAGTTCACCGAGCTGCTACAGCTCTCCAGCGTCAACATCGATACCTCAGCCATCGGGTTTAACTCTTGCGTACGCCACCGCGGCCCCTCCGAGTATCTGGGCTACCAATGTCCTCTCTGCTATCTGTGCTGACTCGAGCCGAGCGCGACAACAGACACTAGAATCAGACTCGTACGTCTGCATCCGCGAGAAGAAGAACGATAGCGCGTCGCCCGAGGTTGTCATCATCGATCTCAAGAATGGCAACAATGTCATGCGCCGGCCCATCAAGGCCGACAGCGCCATCATGCACTTCACCAGACAAGTCATCGCTCTGCGTGCCCAGTCGAGGACGCTGCAGATCTTTGACCTGGAGCAGAAGGCCAAGCTCAAGTCGACGACCATGAACGAAGATGTGGTTTTTTGGAAGTGGATCAGCGACACCACCATAGGTCTCGTCACGGACGCTGCAGTCTACCACTGGGACGTCTTTGACCCCAACCAGGCCGCCCCCGTCAAGATGTTTGCGCGCAATGACAATCTGAGCGTGAGAACCCTCTAGTGCACAAGGTGATTTCACGCAGGACGGTTTACTGACGCCAGGATCGCGCCCACAGGGAAACCAAATCATCAACTACCGAGCTAACGGCGAGAGCAAGTGGATGGTGGTTGTTGGTATCGCTCAGTCTGGGGGCCGTGTGGTCGGCAACATGCAGCTATACTCTAAGGACAGGGGGATCAGCCAGTCGATTGAGGGCCACGCTGCCGCGTTTGGCACCATTCGCCTGGACGGCGCGCCGCAAGATACCAAGCTGTTCACGTTTGCTGTGAGGTCGGCCAATGGCGCTAAGCTACATGTCGTTGAGGTGGACAAGCCTGAAGCCAACCCGGCCTTTGCGAAGAAGAACGTCGAGATCTACTTCCCCGCTGAGGCCGTCAACGACTTCCCGGTTGCTCTGCAGGTCTCGCAGAAGTACGGCGTCATCTACTTGGTCACCAAGTATGGCTTCATCCACCTGTACGACCTGGAGACGGGCGCCTGTATCTTCATGAACCGGATTTCGAGCGAGACGATCTTCACCACCTGCCCCGACAGCGAGTCCACTGGCATCGTCGGCATCAACCGCAAAGGCCAGGTGCTCTTTGTCACCATTGACGACACCACCATGGTCTCGTACCTGCTGCAGAACCCTGCCAACACCGAGCTGGCAATCAAGATGGCGTCGCGCGCTGGTCTGCCCGGAGCCGACAACCTGTACGCCCGCCAGTTCGAGCAGCTGTTCAACGGGGGGAATTACATGGAGGCTGCTAAGGTCGCCGCCGGTTCTCCCCGCGGTTTCCTGCGGACGGCTGAGACGATAGAGAAGTTCAAGCGCCTGCCGGCACAGCCTGGTCAGATGTCGTACATCCTCCAGTACTTTGGCCTGCTGCTCGACAAGGGAGTCCTCAACCGCCACGAGACCATTGAGCTGGCCCAGCCAGTGCTGGCCCAGAACCGCAAGCAACTTCTTGAGAAATGGCTGAAGGAGGGCAAGCTGGACTGCTCCGAGCAGTTCGGCGACATGGTGCGGCCGCACGATGTCAACATGGCCCTGGTTATCTACCTCAAGGCCAACGTCCCGCAGAAGGTTGTTGCTGGGTTTGCTGAAACTGGCCAGTTCGACAAAATCTTGCCGTTCTGCGCCCAGTCCGGCTACCAACCTGATTGGATCCAACTGCTCCAGCACATTGTCCGTGTCAACCCCGACAAGGGCACCGAGCTTGCGTCAACTCTAGCCAACCACGAAGGTGGATCGCTGGTAGACCTTGCACGTGTTGTGGATGTTTTCCAGGGCCAGAGCATGGTCCAGCAGGCCACCTCTTTCCTGCTTGATGTTCTCAAGGACAACAAGCCCGAGCATGCCGACCTGCAGACCCGTCTGCTTGAGATGAACCTCATGAATGCGCCGCAGGTTGCCGACGCTATCCTCGGCAACGAGATGTTCTCACACTTCGACAAGGGCCGCATCGCCACCCTCTGCGAGCAGGCTGGCTTGCACCAAAAGGCGCTGGAGCTTTACGAGGACCCGGCAGCCATCAAGCGCGTCGTTGTGGGCATCGCGGGCACACCCAACTTCAACCCGGAGTGGTTCGTCAACTTTTTTGGCAAGTTGTCGGTCGAGCAATCTCTGGACTGCCTGGACGCTATGATGAAGCACAACATTCGCCAGAACCTGCAGTCGGTTGTGCAGGTGGCCACCAAGTACTCAGACCTGCTTGGCCCCACGCACCTGATTGACCTTTTCGAGAAGTATAAGACTGCCGAAGGCCTCTTCTACTACCTGGGAAGCATCGTGAACCTGAGCGAGGACGCCGATGTACATTTCAAGTACATCGAGGCTGCGACCAAGATGGGCCAGTTCAACGAAGTGGAGCGCATCTGCAGGGACAGCAACTACTACAACGCCGAGAAGGTCAAGAACTTCCTCAAGGAGGCCAAGCTTACGGAGCAGCTTCCTCTGATCATTGTGTGCGACCGCTACAACTTCGTCCACGACCTGGTTCTCTACCTCTACCAGAACCAGCAGTTCAAGTCGATTGAGGTGTACGTTCAGCGCGTGAACCCGGCACGCACCCCTGCCGTTATCGGTGGCCTGCTTGATGTCGACTGTGATGAGAACATCATCAAGAACCTTCTGACAACGGTCAACTCGGCGTCGATCCCCATTGACGAGCTTGTGTCGGAAGTCGAAACGAGGAACCGTCTCAAGCTGCTGCTCCCCTTCCTGGAGGCTACTCTCCAGGCCGGCAACCAGCAGCAGGCTGTCTTCAACGCCCTGGCCAAGATCTACATCGACTCCAACAACAACCCAGAGAAGTTCCTCAAAGAGAACGATCAGTACGACTCGCTCGTCGTCGGCAAGTACTGCGAGAAGCGCGATCCCAATCTTGCCTACATCGCCTACCGCAAGGGCGGCAATGACCTGGAGCTGGTCAACATCACCAATGAGAACTCCATGTACAAGGCTCAGGCTCGGTACCTGCTTGAGCGTGCCGACCGTGAGCTCTGGACGTTTGTCCTCAGCGAGAACAACATCCACCGCCGCTCTGTTGTTGATCAGGTCATCTCCACGGCCGTCCCGGAGTCGACAGATCCCGCTAAGGTCTCGGAGGCTGTCGCTTGCTTCCTTCAGGCCGATCTCCCGGGCGAGCTCATCGAGCTTCTGGAGAAGATTGTGCTGGAGCCGTCGCCGTTCAGTGACAACCAGAACTTGCAGAACCTTCTCATGTTCACCGCCGCCAAGGCAGACAAGTCTCGCGTCATGGACTACATCCACCGCCTGGACGGCTTTAACCCCCAGGAGATCTCCGAGGTCTGCATCAACGTCGGGCTGTACGAGGAGGCGTTCGAGATCTTCAAGAAGATAGATGATAAGACGAGTGCTGTTAATGTCCTTGTCGAGCACGTCGTTAGCATCGACCGCGCTCAAGCTTATGCCGAGGATGTCGATATCCCGGAGGTGTGGAGCAAGGTTGCCAAGGCTCAGCTGGATGGCCTCCGTGTCACCGATTCGATCGAGTCTTACATCAAGGCCGAGGACCCAAAGAACTATGCAGAGGTCATCGAGATTGCCACTCATGCTGGCAAGAACGAGGACTTGGTCAAGTACCTACGCATGGCGCGTAAGACTCTGCGCGAGCCCGCCATCGACACCGCACTTGCCTTCAGCTACGCTCGTCTGGACCAGCTGTCCGAGCTCGAGGACTTCCTGCGCGGCACCAACGTCACCAACATCGAGGAGTCGGGCGACAAGGCTTACGGTGAGGGCTTTTTCGAGGCTGCCAAGATCTTCTACACGAGCATCTCCAACTGGGCCAAGCTCGCCACCACTCTGGTCCACCTTAGTGACTACCAGGCCGCGGTCGAGTGCGCCCGCAAAGCCAACAGCATCAAGGTCTGGAAGGAGGTGCATGAGGCATGTGTGGAGAAGAAGGAATTCCGCCTGGCCCAGATCTGCGGTCTCAACTTGATTGTTGATGCTGAGCAACTGCAGGCACTTGTCAAGAAGTACGAGCGCAATGGCTTCTTCGACGAGCTCATCAGCCTGCTGGAGAATGGCCTGGGTCTGGAGCGGGCGCACATGGGCATGTTCACCGAGCTGGGCATTGCTCTGTCCAAGTACCATCCCCAGCGTCTGATCGAGCATCTTAACCTGTTCTGGAGCAGGATGAACCTGCCCAAGATGATCCGCGCGTGCGAGGAGGCCAACCTCTGGCCCGAGCTGGTCTTCTGCTATGTTCACTACGACGAGTTCGACAACGCCGCCCTGTCGGTCATTGAGCGTCCTGAGAACTCATGGGAGCACCAGCAGTTCCGGGACATCATTGTCAAGGTTGCTAATCTGGAGATCTACTTCAAGGCAATCAACTTCTATCTCGAGCAGCACCCGTCACTCCTCACGGACCTCCTACAGGCCCTGACGCCCCGCATCGACGTCAACCGTGTGGTCAAGATGTTCCAGAAGTCAGACAACCTACCACTTATCAAGCCCTTCCTGCTCAACGTTCAAAGCCAGAACAAGCGCATCGTCAACGACGCTATCAATGATCTTCTGATCGAGGAGGAAGACTACAAGACCCTGAGGGACTCGGTCGAGAACTACGACAACTATGAACCTGTCGAGCTCGCCGGCCGTCTGGAGAAGCATGAACTTGTCTTCTTCCGCCAGGTTGCCGCGAGCATCTATCGCCGCAACAAGCGCTGGGAGAAGTCGATTGCTCTCTCCAAGCAGGACAAGCTGTGGAAGGATGCTATTGAGACGGCCGCTCTGTCGGGCAAGACCGAGGTTGTTGAAGAACTGCTGCGTTACGTGAGTTCGCCTATTCCCTCTCCCCTCCTCCTCCTATACCAGGATGTGTATTTGCTAACAAGTCCGTATCAATAGTTTGTCGACATTGGCAACCGTGAGTGCTACGTCGGCATGCTGTACGCATGCTACGACCTCATCCGGCCTGACCTTGTGCTGGAGATGTCGTGGCGCCATGGTCTGCACGACTTCACCATGCCATATATGATCAACATGCTCTCGCAACAGACCAAGGAGCTGGCCATCCTGAAGGCCGACAACGAGGCCCGCAAGGCCAAGGAGCGCGAGCAGGAGAAGCAGGAAGACAGCGCCCCCATTCTGGGTGGTGGCCGCCTCATGATCACCGCTGGCCCTGGCGGCGGTGGCCAGACCTCCCCGGCGCCATTTGCTGGGGCTAATGGCTTTGCGCCCCAGCCGACCGGGTACGGCTATTAGGGCACCGTCCCGGTGTCAGCGCCCGTCCCGGCTTTGGCTGCCCGTCCCCAAGCACCAGTTCCCGTCGCCCAACCATACCAGTCGGTTGAGCACGTTCACCGCCACCACGTTTTCCACTTTCGCCCTGAGTCTTCGCTCAGGGTTGGAAGTGGCGGCGGCGTCATGCCGAATGCGGGAAACCCGTACCCGCCCATGCCTCCACAGCATGGTTCTTGGTGATGATGGCTATCGCAACTTCACTGCCAACAGCGCCATGGGCATTTACAAATTTTTTTTCTCGGTTCGAAGCAGTAGGGAGGTAGACCGGAGGATATATCAAAAGATCGGTTCCGGGGTTTTGACGCAGCAGTATCTTGATGCTGCCTTGTTAGTGTTTATATTTTGGGGGCGCTATCGTCGGATCCCTGGTTTCTCTTCGGGAGCGGCGTGGAGGAAATGAGGGAATGTTAATTTCTTCTCTTTTACTTGCACATGTGACAGAAACGCGTTTGTAAATGTATGATAGTAAAACACATTGAATTTAACAACAAAGATGTGCCTTCAACTCGATTGTTGATCATGCTCTGGTCTTGGATGTCTCTGCTCTCTCACTCTCGTTCAAGGTTGGCTCCTTGTGATGTGGCTGCCGCACTGGGGTCACCTGTGGCTTGGTGGTAGACAAACGACCTGTGCTGTCGGGTGTCCAGCCGCGCATCTCCCCGCCATATGATGCCGAAGAGCGGAAGCACTCTCCGTTGACCTCCTTTTCGCAGGCGGAACAATTTGAGCCTTTTTTTATCCCTTGATTTCATGAGGGCGCCCCGAGGCCCAATTCAGCCGGCGGATGCGGTCCAGGACGGTCCGTTTCTGCTTTTACACCAAAAGGGTGGCCACAACAACTTCCTCCCTCTTGCAAGCCATCTCTTAGCGCCCAGCCGCTATGCGAACAGTGACTCTCGCTTTCTCTTTCCCATTCAGAAACCCATGTTTTCCTTTTCGCCTTCACATTGAGAAAACAAACACATCTTTCAACGTACCTACCCCAAATGACACTCGCCCGCCACCTGGCAAACGCTCTCCTGGCGGTGGCGGTAGCCGTCGCCGGCGCCGCCGAGGTCAAGTGCCCCATCGTGTTCGACGGGCGCGTGCCCGCGTCCCTGGCCCTGACCGACTTTGACAGCCCCGGGCGGGGCTCGCCGTTCGGGACGGGCTACGTCAAGGGCGAGGGCCTGCTGTGGAGCGACATACTAAAGTTCCCGACGGCGGCGGCCGGCCCGCCGCGGTTCGAGAACGCGTCGCTGCACAAGCCCATCACGGTGACGCTGAGCGACCGGTCCATCTTCCAGACCCAGAGGGGCTTCCGCAGGGCGGGGCTGCAGTTCGACGGGGACTCCAACACGGGCGGGGAGGGGAGCGCGGGGGTCAGGACGCTGCACTGGAGCGTCAAGATTGACCCGGGGCGGGCGCTTAACCTGAGCCACGAGTATCTGGTGGGTTTCTGCTCCTCCTCTCTGCTCGTTCATGTATACATAGGTACCAGGTTTCAGCATCTTGGTTCTACTGGCTGATACGATATCTCTCTCTCCTGTAGAACGTCTGGCATGAGACGTCGGACTACTCTGCCAACCAGTTCAACTTCGAGATGGGCACCATCCTCGGACAGACGTCGCTGCCCAGAGATACGTTCAAGATACTCAACCGGCAGAACCGGCAAATCTGGTCGACAAAGGTGGACAACACCGCGTGGAACAACTTTGCCATCAAGATCGACTACACCAAGAAGTAAGCCCCCGCCCCTTCTCTTTTTTTTTGTCCACCCCCGTCTGGCCTGCGGCCGTAATCGGGAGCGTGTACTGACGGTGAACCGTCGCACCGTCCCGGGGAAAACACCGACCGAACAAATCAGTACGCTCCAGGTGTACTACTCCAAGGGCGATGAGCCGCTCAAGTCGGTCACAAACGCGGTCCAGAACGACAACTCGGGCAAGGGGCAGTACCAGCTCGGGCTGCTCAAGAAGCCGACGGGCACGAACGACGTGGTCAACTCCGGGTACCAGTCGAGGAACATAAACGAGGGCCTGATCTACGGCGGCATCTTCCTGGAGGACAGCGCTGGAGGGTGTATCTCGTTGTAGACAGGCAGGATTAGGGTATCGGGCCTTGTCGAAGGGATGATATCTATCTGCTCCGTATATGTCTGGACGAGTGGTTTTCTTGCACTGGCGAGCAGTTCTAGTATATTTCATCAGTTCCTCATTGGCAATACACTGCTCGAAATAAATGTGCCGATCTCTGCAGCCATCACCTTTGCTCGGGGAGTCAGCCGTGTTTCGCTCCCACTCGCAACCACACCTCCGGAATTCTGGTGCCCACCATTGGTAGCATAGCCCTTGTTAATATGTCTATTACGTAGCCCCCC